TACTTCCTGTGTCACATTTGCTCTATACATCCTGAATGAAAGATACAGTGTAAGAATACTACACAAACCACATCACAGGGTAAAATGCAAAATTCACAATTAATATTTTTGTGTAATAAGAATGTAATGTTTCATTGATACCATTCTAGAATGCAGGTGTCTTCCTTGAGCATCCTGAAAGAGAGTGTATTGTCAGTGTCCCATAGGAAAAATAAAGAATAATAATAAGCAAGTGCACTTGGCAGTTTCTTCATCTGATCAATAAGGCATAATAAGGTTAAGTGACTTCTATCAGGAGGCTTATGACTTATTTTTCTATGTATAACCTGACTCTGGAGCCAGTCTTTAGATCCATTATATAAGCAACCCCTTATTATGCTCTATAGGAAAGAGCCACATAGCCATTAAGTGAGATCCCTACTTCTTTTGCAGCTGATTCTGTTTGTCTGACAATCAAAATTTTGTATGAAATTAAAATGAATAGAATTAAAAAGTAGCCATGGAAAGTACTTCACATATTCTAGCTGCTCTGCTCTGCTCTGAATCGGAGATACCAGCTTTCAAGAAGGATAGCCTATGTCAAATTGCTCAGTAATATTTACCTCTCATTTTTTTCTGCCATAACAACAACTAGCTCTTGTCATCTTTAAAGTGCTTCTCAAACATTCGATAATCTCAGATTACACACTCTGTTCTTTGCATTTATCTTGACCAGCTGTCAGAGAAGGCAATTTATTCCCTCTCAATTTTATTCCTCTTGGCTCTGTGTGGCTTCTGCAGTAAATTTGAATGGAAATTGAAAGGTACAACTTAATGTGTTTCATAACAAGGGCAACACATAATTTTCTTTAGGAAGGATGACCTTCAGATTACTTTCAAATTGCTTATGGCTTTGCAGTTGTATACTCAGAACATATTTTCATTACCTTTGAGTCTTGGTGAATTCTTAAGTGGAAATTTTGAGGATGTGAAGATTTAAAAAAGGACAATGAAAAACATAACTTAGTATTAATTTATCATCTTTTTAAAAATTTTACCATAATTGGATTGACAGATCATTAAATGAATAAAAATTTAGAATTCATATTATGTCAGTTGTTTAAAAAACATAAAAGGCATTTTTAACTCAGAGCTTGCATTACTTTCTGAATATTTATCCTTTCTCAACTTTTGATCAAAGAAAGGAAAATGTGTGTGTGTGTGTGTGTGTGTGTGTGTGTATGAGTATATATATACACACACACATTCATGTTCAGTTTTCAATGTTTTGCCTTTTTAAAATGTGACCAGGATTTAACTAATTTGCATCAAATCTCAGTAAAATTACTTCTTGAGTTTTAGTATACAAAGCAGGTATATATGATAGTTTACAGAAATAGTCTCTAATATACAACTTAATCAAGTGAACCTGAAGTGCAAAAGCAATTCTTGTGTTCTCTGCTTAGTGGCAGTAGGAAGCCTTCCAGGGGTTAAAAAAAAACTGGAGATTACAACATATCAGCTTTCAGGTGGGCCAGTCCTAAACACTCATAATTGTTTACTTTTCTGCAAATCATTATTCCAAAGGTTTGATTCACTTGTAGCCCACCTGAGTCTTAAATTGCATTTCAGATCACTCCTGTCATTCATGCATTTTCAGAACCACCATTAGGAGTGATGTGAATTTGGCACAAAAATCAATGAGAGGATATGATATGAGTTCTTTTAAACTTTTCCTTCTTTGAGCATTACCTCAAGTGCAGTTTGTGAAATCTGGTTTTTAGAGGCATTTTTCCATCTTGCTATTATGTTCACTAAATTGAGTTCATGAACTTCAGATACATATTTCCACAGATTGTCCGGAAAAGTGATTTTTTTTCTGATTGTTTCAGAAAAAAAGATTTGTTGTCACTATTGTTAATTTCTACCTACAGCCATTTAAATATCTTAATTACATTATTTTGCCCCTTTTGTTCCTTATCAGCTTTTAAATTTTTTGCAAATATGGGGCTACATTTGTTACTGTTATCCAAAAATTGACTAAAAAACTAATTTTGTTTGGTTACTACTACCTATTTATATGTGCTCTTGAATGCATTAGATTTTCTTTCCTGAGTAGTCATAGAATTTCATGTTATTGATCTTATTTTTATAAAGAGAAGGATAGTATTATTTTACGGCTAAAGAAACCAGAAGATTAAAGACTTTATTAACTAATGTACCTAATTTTGTTGGCAGTGTTATTTCTTTCTCCAGTGCTTGAAAATTATCTTATAAACTGGACTAATGCTATAAGCATCCTGTTTACATATCTGTTTGAAGGGTTCAAAGATTATTTTTCTAATTTAAAGAATTCAGTTATAGTGATAACATTTGTCCTGTGATGAAATAACTCTATTTGCCATAGATTATCTTTCTTAATTTTGCTAATGGGAGAAAACAGCTTCTACTTATAGGGATAAATTATACTATATGCTCCTGTTTTCCTATATTAGAAAAAATAAATTAATTGATTGGAAAGAATACCAAGGAAATTAGAGAATCCTTTTATAATTTCCTAAAAATATCTTAGCCTAGTGTATGTGCTTGTTAAATGGAAACAAATGTCTGGATTTATTGAAGAGTCAGTATTTCCACCTTCCTGAGGTTAATCCTGCCTTTCTAGCTTTTTCTTAGAGTGATATTTGTCGTTGTCAGAATTATAGTTGTGCTTGTAGCAATGAAGGTGATGATAGTAATAATGAAAAGAGTGGTGATGATAATAATGATTATGATGTAGTTCAGTAGTTGTTGTGCTGTCATTTATTAAATGACTACCGTGATCAGGAAATGTGTCAAACAATTTGCATGAGTTATTACTCCACCATAACACACCTGCGAATTGGGCCTTACCAATCTCATTCATCAGATATAGATGCTTCTCACTCAGAGAGGTAGTGTAGTAGTGACCTTCTAACCATTTGGGTAATGCAAAGAGAAGCCAGGAGTTCATTCCAATCTTTTATCTATAAAGCCCAACGCTTAACTTTTTGCTTGTCTGTTTCCATGAAAAACTAGACATAGCTGAAAGGAAGAGTTGTGATGGTAGGGCAGGAGACTGATGGAAAGAAGCAAAGAGCACAAAGGCTAATATCTTTCAGTTATTACTGGACACATTATAAGAGAAACTATAGCTGCTCTTTCTGGTTGGGTAAAATTTACTTTGTGAAAAATGTTAAAGAAATTTGAAAATTCAGATTTTCTTATGTATTCATCACATAGAAATGTTGCAATTTTGAGATAAATAGCAAAATTGAAACAATCATGTATTTTATAATAAGTCATATTTTTCTTTCTTGGCAGATAATTCTTAAATTATTGTAGACAATGTGGTCTATATTTTAATACACAAAAATATGGTTTTTTAAACTCTGCTTCTGGCAAAAATATTTGGGTTGGTAGAAATTGTTTTTTCTCTTAAGTATTCAATTTAATTTATTTCATATCTGCTTAATTTGGGATTTAAAGTGCTATGAACATCACTTTAATTTTCTGGTAGGTCTTCAATTGTTCTTACATGTAACATGTGTACCTATGCAACAATTTTGCATGTTCTTCACATGTACCCCAAAACCTAAAATGCAATAAAATAAATAAATGGAAAAAAAAAGTAACATGAAATAGTTGTTTCAGATGATCTCTATGTTACCTCTAGATTTAACTTTCTGTTAGTCTAGAGCAGCTAAAATAATCAGAAACATCTTCTCCATCCAGGAGGCTTTCTAGCCATACGATGGTATCAATCTTATAGAAGAGTGCGTTACAACATTGTTAGATGTACATTCTGTATATAAGACAGAAGAGCAGAAGATCAAACACTGCCTGTTCTCACTCATAGGCGGGTGATGAACAATGAGAACACATGGACACAGAGAGGGGAGCACTACACACTGGGGTCAGTTGGGGGGAAATAGGGGAGGGAAGGTGAGGGGTGGAGAGTTGGGGAGAGATAGCAAGGGGAGAGATGCCAGATGTAGGTGATGGGGAGGAAGGCAGCAAATCACACTGCCACGTGTGTACCTATGCAACAATCTTGCATGTTCTTCACATGTACCCCAAAACCTAAAATGCAATAAAATAAATAAATGGAAAAAAAAATAGCATAAAAAGAAAAGGTAAAGAGCCACCAAAAAAAAAAGCAACATAAAGTTTAAAGTGTTATTATTGTATATGTGTGCATATGTGTGCAATTTTATAAACCACCAAAAGGAGGTTTATAGAAAAATGGAGCAAAAACCCACAAGAGAAATGCCAAGGAAAAATAAACATATAAAAAGTTCATCTGTAGTAATCCAATAACTGCACATAAAACTCAAATCATCTCTTCTGTCATTGCAAAAATTTTAAACATCAGTAATACTCAGTATTGCCAAGGATAAGGCAACACAACTACTGGCATACACAATTTTCAAAAGATACTAACTTTCAAATACATGCATGCACTCTCAAAGCTATAAAAGTGATTATGTTATTTGTCCTGGGAATTCTATATTTAGGACTCTCTCCTAAAGAAATAAATAATAATATGTATTGAGAAAATTTCTGCTATTTTTCTCAATACATATTATTATTTCTTTCTTTCATTTCCCATGGTGCATAGCTTTTTCATTAAATTATGCACAGCCATAAAACTACATGTCATGAAGCTACTTAAGTGATATTTTGAGAAATACATAATGGCAATAAAACACACTTCTGATATATTGCCTTGTAAAAAAAAGTAAAAGACAATGTGCTAATGATTTGTCAAAAACAAATAAATCATATTTATATATTTATATGTATGTACAGAAATATAGGTGCAAAATATTAACAGTGGTTATTTCTGGGTGGTGAGATTAAACATATCTATTATCTATTTATTTTATTTTTATATTTTTTGAAGGACTCAAAATCAGAAATAAAAGAGTTGTTGGATATAGAAAGATGTTCTAACCTCATTCTCTTAGATCTTCTGTGTTCCCACAAACAAACAAACGAACATGAATGACCTCAGTAGATGACCTCACAAGATGGGTCAATTATGCAATTAAATTAAAATATTCAAAAGTTTTATCCATTTGAACCATTTTATCACTTATGTTGATTTTCCCCTCACAGGACTTGGGAGATGAGAAATGCTGATTATATGAGCACATGAGTTTCAAGGTGAACAGCAAATGCTGAAGAAAAGATAATGGGCTAGTAGTGGGCAGGGAGGCTTTGTCCTGCCACAAAAGAGTTGTGTGTGCTCTAGAAAGTGGTATAAACAGGTTCAACACTCGTACAGTTAGTGTTTCTTGTCATCTATATTTAACGTGAATTTCTAAATTATATTTTCCTTCCTGAATGTTTGATTAGGAAATGCATCTACAACCACAACTGTGATAGACAGCAAAAATGGATCTGTGCCCAAATCCCCTGGAAAAGTGCTGAAGAGGACAGTCACAGAAGACATAGTGACGACATTCAGCTCCCCTGCAGCCTGGCTTCTGGTCATTGCCCTGATAATCACGTGGTCAGCTGTTGCCGTCGTTATGTTTGATTTAGTGGATTACAAAAACTTTTCAGGTAAGATCTGTGAAATTTGGCTTTAAAATTAAAAGTAATTTAAATTGAAAGAAACAATGCTCCCTCTAAGTTCTGGTTGGATTTCTCTTTCATCTTAGTGTGAGAAAGAAGGCACTGCACATACGTGCTTGAGGACCATTGAAATCTGTTTCATTCTTCTCCTTTTCCTTCCATTCTCTTTCTTTGTCTGTTGTACTTATGAATTTCCAATGAAATTGATATCCTTATTTGCAAGACCTGAACAAAGGCTGAATGTTGCAGTTCATAAAGATAGTTAAAAAGCTTGGGTGAAGATTTTATTTTGGAACTGGTACTTTATGAAGCATTAATAAGGAATAATTTGTAGGTTATTGGCAATATAAAATCAAAGCAAATGAAAAACTTTTGGCCAAATGGAGAATATTTTAAAGTATTTTTAAGGCCCTCTTTCATCTGGTCCTAAGCTTCCTTGCTAGACAAACTCTTTGCTTCTCTCACCAAGCCATCCTATATAGAGTTCCTGAAAATAGAGTTTTTCACAAAATTACCTGTAATGAGATATTACATCTTCAGTGTCCACGTGTCCTTATGACTTTGGAGTAAAATAGGAATAATACAAGGTAGAAAAGACAGATGTTCATTATAGCCTACCCACTCCTTGAGTATATTGCTCATTTTTTTGGTCAAAGATATTTTACATATTTTAAATAGTATTTATCTATTTTCACATACGACACCCTCTATTGACAGTGAGTTCTTTAGGAAAGGAATCAGCCAAGTGCTCAATAAATGGTAAATGACCAGATGAGTGAATTTATTCTTATCACCCTTTTACCACAAGCAAAAAATATTTCATTAACCTTTTAATATGTTCTTTCCTATATACCCTCTCCTCTTCTTTTTTCTTTCTCCAACAGGAGTAGAATCAGTAGGACTCAGATACTATAAATACTATTATTTGCATTTTATATATTCAGGGATCTCCTATTTCTCATTATGGAATTTTACTCATTCAACAATTACTTATCAAATATTTATGTGTCAGGAAATGGCTATGCCACAGATGTCAAGAAGAAATGTGATATAAAATTATGAAAATATAGAACTCTGTTATATGGGTTTATTGGCATAAATGTGTAATATAGTTTGGATATGTGTCCCCTCTAATCTCATGATGAATTATAATCCCCAGTGCTGGAGATAGGCCTAGCAGGAGGTGATTGGATCATGGGGATGAACTTTTAGTGAATGGTTTGTCACTGTCTCCTTGGTGCTGTCCTCACAATAGTGAGTTCTCATAAGATCTGGTTGTTTTAGTGTGTGGCACCTCCCCCCTCCACTCTCTCCCTCTTGCTTCTTCTCTGGCCAGATGATATGCTTTTTCCTTTTTCTTCTCCTTCCACCACTATTGTGAGCTAAGTCCCTCCAGAATCCAAGCAGATGCCAGCATCGTGCTTCCTGTACAGCCTGCATAACTCTGAACCAATTAAACATCTTTTGTTTATAAATTACCCAGTCTTAAGTATTTCTTTATAGCAATGCAAGAACAGCTTAATACAGAAAATTGGTAACAGGAATGGGGTATTGCTTTAAAGATACCTGAAAATGTGGAAGCAGCTTTGGAACTGCGTAATGGGCAGAGGTTTGAAGAGTTTGGATTTCTCAAAAGAAGATAGGAAGAGGAAGGAAAGATTGAAACTGCTTAGCAACTGGTTAAATCATTGAGACCAAAGTGCTGATAGTGATATGGACAGTGAAGTCCAAAGCTGAAGAGGTATCAGATGGAAATGAGGAACATATTGGAGACCGGATCAAAGGTCATGCATTTTATGCCTCAGCAAAGATCTTGGATACATTCTGTTCATGCCCTAGGAATCTGTATAAGTATGAACCTCAGAGTAATGACCTATGTATCTGCTAGAAGAAATATCTAAGCAAAAAGCAAAACATTCAAGATGTATCCTGGCTGCTTCTAACAACCTGTTCAAAGATGTGGGAACCAAAAAAATGACTTAAGTAGGGCTGTGCTTGGTATCCCATGCCTGTAATCCCAGCACTTTAGAAGGCATAGACGGGCAGATCATGAGGTCAGGAGATCAAGACCATTCTGGCCAACATGGTGAAACCCCTTCTCTACTAAAAAAAAAAAAAAAAAATTAGCCAGGCATGGTGGCATACCTGTAGTCCTAGCTGCTCAGGAGGCTGAGGCAGGGGAATCGCTTGAATCCGTGTGGTGGAGGATGCTGTGAGCCAAGATCATGACACGGCACTATAGCCTAGGTGACAGAGCAAGACTTCGTCTCAAAAAAAAAAAAAAAAAAGACTTAAAGTGGAACTTATCTTTAAAGGGGTCAAAGAGTATAAAAATTTGGAAAATTTGCAGCCTCGCCATGTGGTAAAGAAAGAAAAAGCTTTTTTGAGAGAGAAATTCAAGCAGGCTGGAAGCTTTTTTGAGAGAGAAATTCAAGTAGGCTGTGGAGCAACCACTTGCTAGAGAAATTTGCATAAAAAGCAGCCAAGTGCTGATAGCCAAGGAAATGGGAAAAAGGCCTTGAAGGGATTTCAGAGATCTTTGCAAGAGTATTTCTCATTATAGGCCCAGGGGTCCAGGAGAGAAGAATGGTTTCCTCAGCCAGGCCCAGAACCCCGCTGCCCTGGTCAGCCCTAGAAGTGTGCTGTCTACATTCTCCCTGCTCGGGGTCCAGCTGTGGCTTAAAAGGCCACAGGTGTAGATCAGGCTGCCACTTCAGAGGGCATAAGCCATAAGGCTTAGTGGCTTTCATGTGATGTTAAACCTGCAGCCATGCAGAGTGCAAGAGTAAAAGAGGCTTGGAAGCCTCCACCTAGATTTCAGAGGATGTATTGGAAAGCCTAGGTGCCCAGGCAGAAGTTTGTTGCAGTGGCAGAGCCCTCACAGAGAACCTCTAGTAGGACAATGCAGAGGGAAAATGTGTGGCTGGGGGACACACACAGATTCCTCACTGGGATATTGCCTAGTGGAGCTGTGGGAAGGGGGCCACTGTCCTCCAGACCCCAGAATGACAGATCCACTGGCAGCTTCCACCTTGCATTTAGAAAAGCTGTAGGCGCTCAACAATGTGTGAAAGTAGCCTCCGGGGCTGAACCTTGCAAAGCCACAAGTGTAGTGCTGCCCAATTCCTTGGGAGCTCACCCCTCATATCAGTGTGCCCAGGATGTGGGTCATGGAGTGAAATATTATTTTGGAAACTTAAGATTTAATAGCTGCCCTGTGGGGTTTTCAACTTACATGAGGTCTTAGCTCCTTTTCTTGGGCTGATTTCTCCTTTTTGGAACAGGAATGTTAACTCCATGCCTATACTTTCATTGTACCCTGGAAGTAAATGACTTGTTTTGAATTTACAGGCTCATGGGTGGAAGGAATTTATTTCCAGATGAGACTTTGGACTTTGGAGTTAATGCTAGAATGAGTTAAGGATTTGAGAGACTATTGGTAGGGGATGATTGTATTTTGCAGTGAAAGATGACAATGAGATTTGAGGAGCCAGGGATAAAATAATATAGTTTGGATATATGTCCCATCTAACTGCATGTCAAATTGTAATCCCCAGTGTTGGAGGTGGGGTCTCTTGGGATATTATTGTTTAATAGAAGTGGATTTTTGATGACTGATTTGGCAAATTCCCTTGATGCTTTACTCACAAAAGTGAAGGAGATCTTGTGAGATTTGATTTTTTAAGTAGGTGGCACCACCTCACCCTCTCTATCTCTGTTGCTCCTCCTCTGGCCATCCATGTGACATGCTTGCTACCCCTTCACTTCAACTTCCACCATGATCGTAAGCCCCCTGAAGCATTACCAGAAGCTGAGCAGATACCAGCACCATGCTTCTGTATTGATTGCAGAACTGTGAGCCAATTAAACTTCTTTTCTTTATAAATTACCCAGTCTCAGATATTTCTTTATAGCAATGCAAGAAAGACCTAATACCAGGTGTGAATGAGATGACTCTGCCAGCATATCATTGATAGCTAGACTAAAATGAGCATCATCTAACTAGTAGAGCTAAGTTCCATGATGTCAGCAAAAGAAAAAGGGCTATTCATACAGAGTATTCTATTATTGTATTATCCAATACAATAAATTGTATATTGCCTATCATCTAAATAGGCAATATACAATTTATTGTGTGATAGAGGCTCTTAAAATATATATAGTTGAAATGTCTATAATTTTATGACCTACAGTTTTAAGTAAAAAACGCCTGGTTACCTTACTCTATGAAATTTTATTTTCCTTGAGCTTGCCCCGACTGAAGTATTTCCCTGTCAGATGAAATGCCAGTAACATAGGCATTGTCCAGAGAACTTAATTGTAGTGGTCCAATGGAAGCTCTAATGGGAACTATAAGTATGCCCTATATTTAAGTAATCTAATCTAAAATCTAATTATAGGTAGTCATGCATTTTCTAAAACAAGAACAAATTCCTTTTAATTATAATTTCTGTAGTATACTTGCACGATTATTAACTTGACAAACATTTGATTTATATGCAATTCTTGAAATATGTGTATTATAAAAATGAAAGAGCTATATAAATTATGGCTTCAATAACAGTCTCAAAATGTAAATTATGCTCTCGTATTTTAATGTCAATTTTGACAGACACAATTCAAACTTTTGCTAAGGATTAATATTATCATGATGAATCTTTTGTGCTAGATGATAATCTTTGAAATATGTAATTGTTAATATTTACAAAAGAAGGTTAGTGGTAAAGAAAGTATGCCAGAAATGATTTGGAAGGCCAGAAAGTTAGGCCAGCTGCCACCGGGTCTTCAGTTAATCTCTGAAACTTTAGAAAAGTAGGTAAATGCTGTGAAGCCATGAAAAGTTTGTTCATAGAGTAATGAAAATCTGTGCTTCATTTAGATGATTTGGGTTCATTGTTCAGCTCTATGAATCTACAAGCTAACATGACTAGGAACTTATATTTTCTTGTCTGTGAAATGGGGATAACATCTTGCTTTCTATTCTGCAA